TTGTTAACTATTTTTTGGATTCAGAGTCCAGAGTGCTAACCATTACACCATGGAACCTGTATTTGTGCAAATTTTGACTATTTTTCGTCAAATTTAAAGAGATCTTAATTGTTATAATACAAATTATCTTTATTTTTTCATCGAGTTTAAAGATATCTTAACTTTTATTATGAAATAACTTTCACCTATATTGAGTGCTATATCTTAAAAAGTTATGTACTTAGGTTCCACCGAGATTTGAACTCGGATCGCTGGATTCAGAGTCCAGAGTGCTAACCATTACACCATGGAACCTGCATTTGTACAAATTATCTTTATTTTTCATCGAATTTAAAGATATCATAACTTTTATTATGAAATAACTTACACCTACTTTGAATGTTATATTTTAAAAAGTTATATACTTAGGTTCCACCGAGATTTAAACTTGGATCGCGGATAAATATAAATAAGCTCTTTGTAGAAGTTGACTTTTTGTTGTATTATTATTGTTTGTAAATATTAAGTTATGATTTTTTGTATTGTTGCAATTAATATTATTAGTATTAAATATAAATATTTTTTTTAATAAAAACACACTTTCTTCTATTACATGCATTATTTGTATTATTCAGTGTAGACTAATTATCCAAAAATATTTGAATACACATGACTATTATATTATTGCATGTTCATTTATATGATTTTTTGAATGAATAATTGAATGTCACATTGCATTATTGATGATATTAGATAGACAGGTCGATACATTCTTTCAGTCATTATTACATAGTCAACAAAACTAACATGTTCTGCAATCCAATACCTTATAACGAATTATTATTTATTATTGGACGATGCACAGGGATCGTGCCCTTCGGAAGATCGGGATTCATTTCGGCACTTAACAAGATACATAAAGTGATTTGCGGTTCCATAATAATATATTTCTGTTACGTAGCAATTATGAGGAAAATAGATCTTAAGCAACCAGCGATGACCTTAATCGTGCAATCATTTGCGCAAATCGCTACGGTTTCCATCAATTACACTTGCATGACAAAAGCTCTGCGTGCGGATATGTACGATGATCTCTTCGAAAAGATGAAAGAAATCGATCGATTATTAAGGAAAGTTTATCAGAGAGGAACAACGTTTTATAAAATTTGGTTCGTTAGTCTATACTACATTGCGATTAAAGTAGCTACAAGATTGATAGTGTTGTGGTACTTTAAAAAAGAAGTGGAATACTATTCGTTGCTGGATTTTTTGAATACTAATGTCCTCATAATGACTTTCATTATATTTGTGTTCATGCAATCTGTTTATTATAGATGCGTGCTTTTGAAAGAAATGTTGGCAAATATTCGAAGATTACAGCAATCGCGATTGTTTTTTGTGGAAAGTTACTTGTTAAACATTTCAACGTGTTTAAATGTTTATGTTCTTCTAATGGAATTCATGAACATGTTTAATAAAAAGTTTGGATCAATCATGGTTCTCATCTATACTTATACTATAGTTTACAGCTTGAACAGTATAGACACTGTGTTTAAGTTTTACCTAAATGTCAATCAAGCTTTAAAAAATAATTTTCGTATGTTGATTACGTTGATGACTTTTTCTACATTTCAATTTATTTTAACACTGGTATGTATTGACATAACAATTTGTATTTAATTGTATAGACATTAATTTATTTAAAAGTTTAAATGAAAATTTAATTTGTTTGCATTTATGTTTTTTAGATGCAATTCGTAATGATTGTTGACTCATTGCACCAAATTCATATGGAGATCAAGAAAATGTTGGTTTCAATACAATACATGACCCTTTATGTAATGCATAATGAACGGATAAAGAATTTGAGAAATCTGCAACTTGGAGTTGCCTATAATCCTCTAAGATGGTTTGCAGCTGGAACTATTGATATTAACAGAGATTTACTTTTCAACATTTTTGGATTGATACTCTCATACACTATAGTTATTATAGTTGTTAAAGAGTAATAATTGAATAATTGTTGAATCATGCGTTTGTACAAATGATGTCTATTTATGATTAACTTTAGATAGACCTAAAGCAGTTACATTGAAATTTTGTACGTTGTTGAACATTATTGCTATATTAATATTATTAAATTAATATATTTATTATAATGTAATATTTATTAAATATTTATTTCTTGGGTGGAAAAAGCTGCGGTATGTTGTTATACAATAAATGTTTTTTTTATTTATTTATGTATGATTGTTGCAAAAAAACAATTTATTTACAATTTATTATTTATATAAGACAGTTTTGTACATATTGGAAAATAATATTTATCTAATTTTAGTAATTATGATTATTAAAGAGAATTATTTTTTTTCTTCTTATTTGTATGAGAGTATTATTGCCATGTGAATATTATTATTCAAAGTCTAGAGTGCTAATCATTACATCCTGGAATCTGTATATGTGCAAATTATGTTATTATTTTTGTCAAATATAAAGATATATTAACTGTAATTATGAAATTATATATACCTAAACTGAGTGCAGTATCTTAAAAAGTTATGTACTTAGGTTCCACCGAGATTTGAACTCGGATCGCTGGATTCAAAGTCCAGAGTTCAAATTCAAATTCAAAAATAACTTTATTTACATACATAATTATTGGCCCTTTTACAATTTGCAAAGGCAAAAAGAATTATCTTATTACAAATCTCTCAACATAGTTGTTTTAGGTTTGCATCGGTTTATATATCTTACACTTTTAACAATATTTTGAAGATAATTGCCGAATCAATTATTTACATTTGGAGTGTTTAGGATACTTAAGATTAAACATTTTAAACTGTGGTTGTTAGTACATATATACAACTATTTCTATAAATTTGCGTGGGAGGGTGATGGAGAGTATTTACATGTGGAAGAGAGAGAGGTTTTGGTATGGGAGTTTATGTTTAAGGTGTAGGGGAGTATTGTGAGCTCTCACATTTGTGATTTCTGAACACAGTCCATTATTATTTAATTGTGAACTGTAAAACTTTTCGGAGGCTTCAATGATGTACTGATCGATGGAGACAATTCTAGCTTCTAGCACTAGGTTGGTGATTCTAGTATCTCTTTCGCGATTCAGCGCTAGTCTAAGACATTTGTTTTCAAAGACTTTAAGTTTCTTTTTGTGTATTTCTGCGGCGCCACACAAGACGTGTGCCGCATATGTTATGATGGGCCTAAATAATTGCTTATACAACAGGATTTTGTATCTTTTTTCAAGTGGGCTGTTGACGCACAACAGGGGGTAGAGCGTCCGCAGGGCCTTGTTTATGGATTTATTGATGTGTTCCTTGAAACGTAACCCTTCAACGAGTATTACTCCGAGATATTTAACAGATGTTTTGACCGCGATTTCTTTACCGTTAATTTTTAGTTTTTTTAATTACTTTAGAGTTTTTGCGCTTTCTTTTAAACACGATGTTTTCCGATTTTGCCTCGTTAACTTTGATTTCAAAGTCCAGAGTGCTAACCATTACACCATGGAACTTGTATTTGTGCAAATTCTGACTATTTTTAGTCAAATTTATATATATCTTATGTGTTCAAATTAATTGCAATTTAGTTTATTGCATTACCTTAAAATTTACCTAGGTTCCACCGAGATTTGAACTCGGATCGCTGGATTCAAAGTCCAGAGTGCTAACCATTACACCATGGAACCTGTATTTGTGCAAATTATCTTTATTTTGTCATCGAGTTTAAAGATATCTTCACTTTTATTATGAAATAACTTATACCTATATTGAGTGCTATATCTTAAAAAGTTATGTACGTAGGTTCCACCGAGATTTGAACTCGGATCGCTGGATTCAGAGTCCAGAGTGCTAACCATTACACCATGGAACCTGTATTTGTACAAATTATCTTAATTTTTTCATCGAGTTTAAAGATATCTTAACTTTTATTATGAAATAACTTTCACCTATATTGAGTGCTATATCTCAAAAAATTATGTACTTAGGTTCCACCGAGATTTGAACTCGGATCGCTGGATTCAGAGTCCAGAGTGCTAACCGTTACACCATGGAACCTGCATATGTTCAAGTAATGTCTTTTTTTTTTTTCAATTTTAAAGATATCTTACAATTTGTCCTGAAATGAATATATTCCTATTTGAATTACATTAATATCAGCTGAAATTACACTAAAAATATCATAATAATTTTTTAGCAAATGTGAAAATTTATGGTTGCTAATTTTGTAGTTCGATTAAATCTTATGTTTTTTATAATTTCATTTTACAATAATTTAACATTAATAAACATTTTATTGCTTATATTATATTTAGTTGCTAGTTATTTTTTTATAAATTAAAACATACATTAATTATCATTATTATTTTATTTTCATCAATGTCAAATGAAAATAATTATATTCAATATGATTTATTATAAATGTTATAAATTAAAAAAAAATATTTTCACATAGAAAGTAAGTAGGTATGAATAATGCGCAGAAACACCTTATAAATATTTATTCTTGCAGTTAGGAAAGTGGCATTTGCATAATTAAGAATAGCAGTAAGAAGTGCTTGTATAAAATGCACAGGCCTTTAGGTACAAACACTTATAATTCATAAAGCAAAGCTAAGGAAGTTCCTTTCTCAGTTTGATTGGTTCTACAACAATGGTAGTAACTTTTAAGTAACGAAACAGATTGAAATATGAAAATATGGAAAAAGGTTTAAACATTATATTTATCATAATTTTCATACCAACGGGTTTAGGAGCAGTCGATTATTCAACATTACCGTCAGCTAAACTATATTTCACGAATGGTAGTACGTTAGGAGTAAGAAATTAGCATAGTTTACAAATTATAAAAATATAAAATAATAATTTTTCCAGATAGTTACAGCAATTGCTTTGCCTTTAGAAACACCATTAAGACATTGTTATTTAGCATACAACTTCAAAAACTTCTTTCATTTACCTGATAATGTAAAATCACCTGAAGTTTATCCGCCAATTAAAAGAATGGCCAAACGTTTCAATAGGAGAATATTATATAAATTGATTGAATCCAAAATCAAATTGTAAGTTGAAGTAATTTTTATTTTATTCACAATATTTTTTCATATTAATTAAAGTCATGGGTTTCCTGGCTTGGAATGTCTCTTAAGAGTTATTTGTGAAGCGTCGACATATACTTTTCAACATACTGGTGTTTTAGCTGACTTATTTCATATTATATTTACGTAAGAAAATTAATTTTTTTAACAACTAATATATTGACTAGAAAATTATAATTTCAGACCATCCAGTAGTAAAGAAAATTTTATTTCAAGAGAATATCATCAAGCTGAACATTCAGGGAAGATGCGAAACTGTAGCAAATACAATGACAAATGTAGTATCAGTTTATTAGATTTATTTAGTTATATTGGAGACATTCTATGATATAGTCACTATGTATAGTTAATTTTTTAATCATCTTAATTGAATTAAACATATCATATTTGAGATAAATCTCCAGAGTACTAACCATTACACCATGGAATCTGTATTTGTGCAAATTTTTACTATTTTTCATAAAATGTATATAAATCTTAAGTGTTTAAATTAATTGTAATTTAGTTTATTGCATTATTTTATAATTTACCTAGTTTCCACCGAGATTTGAACTCGGATCGCTGGATTCAAAGTCCAGAGTGCTAACCATTACACCATGGAACCTGTATTTGTGCAAATTCTGACTATTTTTAGTCAAATTTATATATATCTTAAGTGTTCAAATTAATTGCAATTTAGTTTATTGGAGTACCTTAAAAGTTACCTAGGTTCCACCGAGATTTGAACTCGGATCGCTGGATTCAAAGTCCAGAGTGCTAACCATTACACCATGGAACCTGTTTTAATAAAAACTAATCAATAATTTATTATTTTCTTGGAAAGAATTTGACCTTTGACATAGAGAAAGTTTATCAGACGTAATCAATATTCGACTTGTATTGATGCGGAAATTAACAACACATGTTTATAGCTTTATTTTTTTTTCTGGAAGAATTTTACTTTGTTGTACAATAATTGCTATTAAAGTTAGAATTACAGTTTCAATGAGTTTTTAGATTGATGGTCTTAAATATAATATAAATTTAATCTTTCGATCAAATTAAAAACAAGAAAACATGTTCTAAAATTCTATATTATTAATTTGAAATGTGATAAGAAAGAAAACACATATTTTATATGAAACAGCACATAAATTGTTACTCATAAATATTAATTCATTAATTTTCACAAACAAGTACAAATATAGGAGTGCAGTTGGTTAAAACTGGATTTAAAGTAATTAAAATGAAGTTTAACCTTTTTCCTTATAACAGCACGTTGCTAAAAATCGCAAATTTCACTGGTTTAACTCCGATTCTCTTGCAAAATTACGGAAAACGGGTAATTTTAGGCAACAAAATATACAGGTTTGTATTGATTGTAGCGATCGTTGTTTACAAATGTGGCAATTCTTATTGGAAGTTTAAAGAAATTTACGATCTTAATAGACCTCATCTAATTGTTGTGGAAGAGATGAGTGTTATTTTTAGCATGGTTATAAATGTATTAATCATCTATCAATCGCTTTTTGTGACTGAAAAAGACTATAGTTTACTCTTCACTTTAATGAGGAAAATCGATAATGGGTTAAAGATATCTTTCGAAGATAAAACTGCAATGCAAATCTTAAGTTTACTACATATTTTGTATTTCTTCATGACTGTAGCAGAGCTATCCATGTACATCTTTTATTTTCACGAAGACTTTCCTTTATACTTCATCGAAATACTGTTGGATTATAATTTGGCCCTGCTTGTGTCTGTGATGTATGTCTTCATTGAAGCAGTGAAGTGCAGATGTATTTTGATTAATACGATATTACGAAAATCCTTGAACAACGATTTTCGTTTTATGTTCTTCGCTCATTTACTTGGAGGACATTTCCATACTGTATTTAAAGTTTATGTATGTTTGATGGAATACGTGCATACTCTTAACAAGATCTTCGGATTTGCCATTTTTCTCTTATACCTTCGAAGCATTATGTGCACATTGAACAGCATTAACTTTACAATCCTTTACATGACCAACGATCCGCAATTCATCAAAACTGAAAACGTAGGTTCGGAAAAGTACCTTTTCATGGTTGTTTCACTCATAAATGCTTCAATATCAGTCGTAAGTATTTAAATAATTAAATTTGTTTATAACATTGATTTCTTTACTTTTCTTTTAAAAACAAACAATTCACAATTCAACAATTCAAACATTTCTGACATCTGTCAAATAAAAACAATCATAACTTTGAAACCTAAAAATAACATAAAAAGAAAATAGTAATGCTTCTTTTATGACACTTTGTATAAGTTGAGATTATAATAATACATATTTCTTTTTCAGTCATACTGTGCGATATTAGCATCTTCGGCAAATCAGATTCAGTTGGAGCTGAAAAAGTCTCTTATGTTGATATATAAATTAAGGGATGTATTCGCTTTTGAAAACTACAGAGATGGATTGAAAAACTTAGAATATGCGATTTCTAGAAAACCGTTAGTAATATCCGCAGGTGGTTTTCTGCAAGTAGATTTTACATTGATGATTACATATATTATGAAAGTTATTACTTATATCGATGTTATAATTACTTATAATCATCATTAAATTAAATTTCAATTGAACTGTCAATAAATAAATAATACATTTAATTCTCTATTTACTGATACTGACTCAATTAAAAATCAAAATAGTTTTCCAAAAATTAACTACCCTTTACAGCTAAATATAAAGAAAATAATTCTATTTTTCTAAATTTATATAACGCAGCGTTTTACAACCTTTTTATCGCGTGACGTAACATATATATGTCTGAGAACATATTTGTTGTCCCCCAACTGGATGTTTCCGTAAAAAGGAACAGTCAAAGTTTGAAGACTGTTAGTACTGAATTGATTACTTGGCTTAGAAAACCACTTCTTGTGGTTGATTTTTCAAAATATTTAGATAAAAAACAATCAAGTTCAAATAATCCTTTTTTTCTAACGTGATAGAAATATCTATAATTATTTGCACGCAAATTCAGTTAATAGAAACATGCATATTTAAAACAATGCGCTTACAATGAAAAAAAACACTAATTATGTTTTAATTGTAGATTTAACTTCAAACAAATCATCATTATTTTCAGAAAAAATGTGCATACAAAAATTGTCATCTGTGAATAAACATTCAGTTCTGAATGTGTTCAAATCAAAAACATTTATATGATTTTTAAGCGTATTAATGATTTTTTAAGTAAGTAAAATAGAAAATATATTTTGTGATATAAGTAAATTTGCATATTAGAAATAATAAACTTCATGTACGACCTAAATCAATATTAATTAAATAATTGAATGGTATAATTAGTGATGAATGCACAACATTAACTTAATTAAAAATCAATATTTGGTAGGTCTCTTTGCATCTACACTTAATGAAATTGGCGCGTGTTGATCGCATTCAACGTTTGAACATTAAACTGAGAATACGGACATATAAAAATGAAAGAACTGCTGAAGAAAAATATTAAAAACGATATAACAGCTATAAAACCTTTAAATACGCTTTGCAAATATATCGGAATTCTACCCAACATAAACTTGAACGATTTCAATGACTTCAGCACCTACAAATTTCTCCCCATCGCTTTCACAGTAGTCTTTTTCTCATTTTTTGTTGCATCAACAATTGGAAAACTTACTTACTTGTATAGTTACGTGGGTGAGTTTAAGTAAATTTATTTTATAACAAATATTAATTGAATATTTCTTTCAGGAATTACAGTACAAATCACTGATTTATCAGTAGATATTAGTTTAATTTCAATCAATATCGTTTGGTTCTTGGGCTTAAATTTGTACCAAGGAAAGAATGTTCATAGATTTTTAGCAAATCTAAGAAAACTTGATGAAGAGTTTCACTGTGTCAAAAGCGAGTCGAAATATCCAAATTTGAAATTTTATATCGAATTTACTTTGGTCCATGTGTTTTATTTAATCCATTTTGTAATGAATCTCATTTTATGGTTCAGTTCCATGGATTTCTTTGTTTATCAACATTTTTTATTAAGAGATATTCAACATTATTTCGTGATTATTCAAGTGATGTTGATGAGGAATTACGCGCTTTTGATTAATTACAGATACGAAATATTGAATAAAATTTTCTCGAATATAAATATCACTGGGTGCAGTGAGGTGACTGCGAATGAAGATTTAGTTTCGAAGCAATGGTGCATTCGAAAAGTGAATGAGATTTTTGGAAATTTAGGTGATATTGTTGTTGAATATAATCGGATATTCGGTTGGCAGTATTTTTTGATGTACATTCACATTTTAGTTATATTATTGTTACCTATTAACATGTGTTTTGTTTATGGTGATGGTAAAAATCATATAAAAGGTGTCCATTTCGGTATGCAGTTTGTTATACTTTGCACTATTTGGTCGATTTTATCTATTGTAAGTTACACCACAATATTGAAAGTTAATGGTAAAGTTTTGATTGTTACAGGTAATGTCTCTGTCCATATTTTCAGTGGGATGGAGCGTTGCAGAAGCACACAGAACTTCTACAATTGCTTATAATTTGTTAAGGGAATTACCTAATACCGAGAAGTTCTATTATGTAAGAAACGAGCTTTTAGATTTGGCCCATCTTGCGTCGAGTAAATATCCTAAAATTACAGCTGCCGGATTTTTCACTGTTAATTATAAAACTCTCTTTTCACTTTACGGTTCTGTAACTTCTTATATAATAGTCTTAATGCAGTATAATAAATAAATGTTGGTATATTTATTATAAAATTATTATTATTATTAAAAGATTTTTGTATACCTCTTAACGTTACCTCTTATAACGAAGCTGCAATATAACAAAGTTGGCCATTCCAAGATCCATCTAATATAAAAAGACAAAATAATTATCAGACATTATGACTAGGCATTGTACAAATATAGGGATCGACAAATTTTTTTTTTTGGATCAAAGAGCCTTTTTTAACATATTGCCTATAGTAAAAAAGTCTAGGGAGCCGCAATTTGTCATCAAAAGCATGTGATTCCGGAGACGTAGGTTGCCGAAAGAAAAATAATATAAGATCTAAGAAATTAGAAATGAAATTATCGAGGTGGCTCAATAAGTAGGTTGAGAGATTGAGAAATAAAATTAGAAAATTATTGAATGAAAAAAAATATGCTTCTTGATGGTGAGTATTTAGAAATAAAATGTGAGCAACGAAGACAAAGCCTTATATTTTTTTTATTAAGAAACGTATGAAAAAAATTCAAACAAAGTTTTGTTTTTGAAGTAATCTTATTCGTAAATCAAGGTATGACTGTAATGATTATTTAATGAAACAATATTCA